CACAAGTAAATTTTAGATTTAACAGAAAAAGAAATTAAAGTGAAACTATTTTCTTAAATGAATAAGCACTTTATTTGTTTCGAAAACACCTACATTTTTATAAAAATTGTATTTACAATTATTGCAAATATGATATTTTTCTTTCTTTTATTCAAAAATTATTCGATATACAAATAATAGAGAAAAAAAGATTGGTATGACTTAGTACATTCAGTGTTTTTTTATCAGTTAGAGATGATATATGATATATTATCAAATGAAAAACAAAGTATGCTTAACGGATAATAATAAATATACGAAGCGTACTATGTATTCAATCGTATAGAAAAAACTGAAAATTAATCTACTGTAAAAGACTTGTTTTCAGTATTTTAATACAGTTTGTTTTTTTAAAGCAAATAAAATATTTTTTTTCTATATGTCATATGGAATCGAATAAAGTTTATTTTCTTGATAAAACAAAAAGCTAGAATTGAATAAATAATAAAATCACTATGTGAATAATGATAGCAACTATGGACACAGGATAACTTGTTAATGTTTTATTACAATAATCTTTGTCTGAACAACAGTAATATGTACTACCACTAGGACCACTTCCAGATGTACAAGCTCGACCACCTGCCATACGTTCAACATAATTTGAATAGACTACTTTCTGATGAATAGAAAAATATTAAATTTTAAAAATATTGCATATAATGATCATAACTCACTAAACAATAAGTACTTCCTGGGATCTGTAGATCACCTGATGTAGCTTCATTAAAAGGATCATTACAACCCGAATTACTTGATCCGACGCATGATACACAACTTAGTTCACTACTGATTGGGATCAAAGCTAAATAAATATACTTGAAATTATTTTATAGAAAATAATATTCTTACTGAGAAAGTAGAGAGTTGATATGATGAAAGAGTTCATTTGTTATTCAACATATGACATATGTATGACTGTATGATCGTATGAAGCAAATTGTATAATTGAAAAGAGAAGCATTATTAATTTTTTATTTTTTGTTTATTTCAATATTGATTTGTAATCATAAAATTTTTTTTCTCTCTTTTTCTCTCGGAATATTTTCTTTGTATAAATAACAATAGAATATGTCATATTTTGTTTTTCGTTTCTACAATCATATATTTTAAATTAAAAATAGACATGTAAACCTTACAAAAAATAATGAATAAGAAGAATAATCCAATACTCACGCCCAAACCCAGACTCACCCACACCTATTTTAAGCTTTTCATTCTTTTACTTTCGCGTGTTAGTAATACGGCAAGACTAATTTAATTGTTTACTGTTCCTAATAAACTAGTCATCACATATCAATTCTTTTCAAGCAAAGATGTCCATTAATAACAATACAAAATAGACGGCCGTTAAAAAAATCTTGAAAAGATAATTGCACGTGTATGATAAGAAGAAGAAAACAAGAGAAAAGCTACTTCTTATCTCATATCTCTACAGTTGATATAACTCAAGTAGAAAGAATTATAATGAAATAAAAATAGATGAACTATCTCACTATTCTTTTTTTTATGTACTATCGATTGACATTTGCTTATATTATAGATATAATTAGTAATGTTTCAAGTATACATTATTCTATCTTATATTCTGATCAATATATTTCAAACAAATCTTTGTTCAGCAAGTTTATTATTAGTTGATCGTAAAAATCCATGTCGCGCATATGGAAATGCTTCTGTATATGATATTACAAATCTTGTCAAAGAATGGCCTATTACTCTTCAAGGACCAGGTTTTGGTGCTGGTGAATATAATTATTGGTGGAGTTGTGCTGGCAAAACACGGTATTGTGAAGATATAGATACTGCTGTATGTCAACAACGTATCGACGGAAGTCCGGTACGATTTAATACTGGTAACGTCTCTCCTCAATTATGGTTTGGTCTATTTAATGGTGCCGCATTTCAAGTAATAAAAATAGTTTATCTTATAATTAAATAATTTTTCCTCACTAGACTAATCTAACATGGGATATAATGTATCCAAATCTTCAATCAGATCCAAAACTTATTGATGGTACTGGTATTCGTGTTACAATTGTTCATTTTATTGTTGATCCAAACATTGACAAACCTTTATTTACAATGAATGGTGAAAATAAATATACAGAATATTCGATTACAGTTCGTGGGAAATGTATTGGACAACCAGCAGTTAACCAGACGACTTTTGTACAAGGATATTGTGATCCACAAACAGGACAAGTTGTACCTGCCCATCATTGAATGGGATACTAACATATTTTGCAAAATTATGCAAAGAAATTATAATTGAAATCTTTTATTTTCGTATATGTAATAATCAGACAGTATAATTATACTTTATGTAATTTGTTATTGTTCTATACGAATTCATATTTATATTGAATTTCAATTGGAATTTTCTATTTTTTCACGAAGCAGTAGACACAAAGACATAGAAATAATTGCTTCTATACAATTCTTCTAACTAACGAGATAATCAAAAATGTTATTCATTTGCCTTTTTGTAAAATAGATACTGTTGTAAAAGGCTATTAATTCGATAAACAGCAAAACAAAGGATTCAAATGTGAATTTCGTTAAAAACTCAGAGTTAATACAAATCAAATACAATTTTTTATCAATTAAATGATAGATAATTATAGACTTAACGTCGTGGTAAAAATAATACTGTTGCTCCATCACTGAGAACATTTGGAATGTAGCGATTATCGGGTTTGCTCATACGAAATCGATATACAGATAATAAAATACCCATTGTTATGAATATGAATCCAAGACAAATAACTAAAATAACCACAATCATTTTTATAGTTGGATTAATATGTTTTGGTTTCAAAGATTCAAGAGTTGTGTATAAGGCTAAATTAACAAAATAAAAAATGAAGAATTTCTTTCAGATATATTTTTATAAAAAAAACCTACGAGATTTATTACAAAGAGAAGTAGAACAACAATCAATACGACCTTCAAATGTCACTCCACCATATGTTACGTTACCAAATGATTGATTAGTACAATTATTAATAAAAGTACGTATTGTAAAAGCCGGATACTTTTGACCAGTAATGAAATCTTTTCCCGCTAAACCAACGATCATCTTGTAATAATTAGATTGAAAATATAATTAAAAGAATATACTCTTTTTTTGGAGTACTCACCGCGCATGATTCAGATGGATTAGATGATGCAGAATTGTAAACATATTTACTCATTGGATTCAATATATTACAATCTTTCAAACCAGTTATACGTGAATCACATGTATAACAATGAATAGCTTCACCTCGTGGAAGAATCTGTTGATTGCATTCAGGATAATTACAACAAAATAAATCATGAGATATCGATTCACCTGTCGATGATATCATTGTAGTACTATTGGGAGTGCATCCTGTTTGATAAGATTTAGAAACAATTCCTTGATGTTTTCTCTAGATGAACGATTATTCATTTTGTTTGTTTTCTATTCTAGAACAATATCGATACTCACTGTGCAAGATTCAGTAGCACTACTTAAATAGACGATAGAATCATTACAATGACTATCATTTGTATAACAAACATCAATAGCACATGTAAGAGTAGTAAATGCTGGTAATGGTGGTGAGGAAAGAGAATTGCAAAGATCTTGATTACAACAGAATTGATAAGGCGAACTGCGACATGTGTAAGATGGCATAAGACTTCGAATGGTTAAACCACTTGCATTAACAGTTATCTAATTCATATTAGATTAAAGTAAGAATTCTTAGATATTCTATATTTATGATTTTATTTCTACTCACCGAACATGAATCATATAGATCATTACCATAAACTATATTAATATCGCTAAATTTCGATGAGAATAATACACCACATTGTTTTTCTCCGTTACATGAATAACATCGTAAACTTTCACATGATTGAATTACTATTTTTCAAGAAAAAATTCATAATCTTTTTTTTGTAAATGAATTTTAATACTCACCAAATATGAATATCCAATAAAACACGATATGTATCATAATATTTACTGTATTGTTTTCGTTGATGTTATAATTCTATTTGAAAAAAATTCCTCGTTTAACTTGATGAACTTGAAACGTGTATACTCTTATTAAAATCAGTTTCATATTTGATAAATAATACTTACATATTCATATTTTCTCCATAAAACAGTATTAATCTATATTATGAAGTGAATGTTTTATTTTTGTGCATTTAGACCAATAATGTTTATTAAGAAACGATCAAATAGGAAAGAAAAATATTATTTCTTCTTCTTGTATAGGAAGCAAAAAAAGAAAATATTTTATTTTTATTCTGTTTGCCATAATAACTTTATTTATAATAATTATTCAATAGTTTTTACGAAGAGACACATTTTAAGAATTCTATATAAAATATCTTCATATCTTTAGCAAGAAGAAAACGATTAATTGCTTTTAATTTGTGCAGTAGCGTGAATTACACATTATCATAGGTGGCAAGAAAAATACCCAAAAATTGTCACATTTAACAACTGATATAAGTACTTGTAGGATACATTCTCCTGCGTATGTTTCAAAACAACCATTCCCATTAACAATGGTCTCGGATGTTAATGGTAATGTGCCATTATACCAGACTGCTAAGAATGCACCGCAGCGTTCCCGTCCTGGTGGAGTAATAGCCATCGTAGTTCCACCAGCACCTACAAAACGAATCCATCTACCACCAATACTTGTATTAAATAGTGGTCCATCATCACATGTACCGCCTATTCCAGGTGCGTTTACATTTCGTGTTGGATCGTTAATTACTGTATATGATAAACATGGTGGATCACCACTTGCACCACCATTACCTATATCATATATTGTTGCTGCTGTAGTGAATGTTGATTCTAAAGATTAGAGAAGAATGTAAAATTATAATATGATTTACAAAGACAAACTAAATACTCATGTATACCTGTTTTATTATCATTTATTGAGAAACTTGTTTGTGTGGATGTTTTATGAATGTATAAAAGTGAAACTGTAATAGTTATTATAATAATTATCATTAAAATGATTATAGCACTGATGGTAAAAATTATTTTGTTTCGTTTACTAGAATATAGTTAAAAAATAGGAAATAATTACTTCTGAAATTAATTATAAAGAAAATACAATGAGTTGATTTCTTACTTGAAGGTTGGCGATTTTTCTTTTATCTTATTATCTGTTACTGATGAACCTGAACTCGTGGAAGATTGAATTTCGAAAGATTCGTCCGTCCATGATACAGACGAGATATCACTTACATCAGCCATAATTGTGAATTTAATACGATAGAACGTATAGAGATCTACACAAATATAATAGAAAATTATAATGAAAGGTCTTTTCTTTACCTAAGTTTTGAATAACAATCAACTACTGTTGAATTTAAAATAAACTGAATCGAAATATTCACTAGTTTTAATTGATTAGAATTTTATTCAATTTGTTTTTGTATTTCAAGAACTTTTTTTGTAGCTATATATAAGGTCAAAGAAGCAGATGGATACCGAAAGAAAAACAACAATAATAAATTTATTTAATTTCACTTCTATTTCAATAAAAATCGGCTTCATTCGAAAGTATGTCTACTGATTATATTCTTTTCCTCTTTTCAATTATTCTGTAGAATAATAGAATAAAACAATACAAGTATTATTTTCTTTATGTACATAATCTTCATAATAACTTGTAGTTTTTTATTTTACAAGACTACTTTCTTCTCAATTGTTTATTTTAACTAGCTCTGATAAAACATATATTATTAACATATTTATAACTATAAAATTATTGGTATTCGCGGAGAAAATAATACAAAAAAAAGACAAATAATCAATGGTAGATATCCACTACTGAAAAGTAAAGATAGTTGAATCGAACTCGATATATGTACATTTTTGGAATTGTTGAATGAAACTCATTGAATATAATATGAAACAAATTGTTAAACATAGATTTGTACTAATTCTTTCTAGATTCGCAATATATCTCAATCTTTCCTATTCTCTTTAAGGGTAATGCATAAGAAACTATCAAATAAATATTCTATTTCAAAATTTATACATAACTTTATTGTAATCAAAAAATGAATTCAATTTATTTAGATCTATTCAATAATAAGACAAAAATTCTGTGTAGACATGTGGTTAGCAAACGCTATTTTTAATAAATAAATAACAACAGTTTAGTAGCAAATTAAATAACTTGAATCAATAAGAATTTATATTCAATGACAAAAAGAATCTGTATAATAAACTTTTATGAAGTAAGTCTGCTCGAGTTATGTCAGAGAGCGACATACTATAAATAAATATTCTGACTGGTTATAAACACGAAACGAATCAATGAAATGACAGATTCTATATTGAAATTACAGACGTTTTTGATGAAATCAATACTTTAAATTGTCGGTAAGTTGTGATATATCTAGCATATTACATATTCGTTGGTACTCTCGCACTATACATATGAATTTCTCCCATATTTTTCTCTCGCTCTATATATGTGCACGTATTTATGTTCGTTTGTTTTCTCTCTTCTAGTCTTATTGCCATATCTTGTTGTTTTATAATTAACTAGGACATATTTACAATGGCAACTAATGTTAGTCAATCGAAAACTCGAATACTAGTCTTACATGGTTATTATGATAGTGCACAAAATCGTGAATATCAAATGCGTTCTTTAGTTCGATCGATGAAAGATATCGACTTCGTTTTCATTAATTCGCCATTTCCATTTGTTAATTATGATTTTTTAAAATCAACAGATAGTCCATCAAATGAAGAACGATATCAATGGATGTCATACAAACCAACAGAATGGTCAGTATCAGCCTATGACTATGATACAATTAAAGAAAGTATTGAATATATAACTAATTATATCAATCAAAACGGACCATTTGATGGTTTATTAGGTTTTTCTCAAGGTGCAATTGTTTGTCTTACGATGCTTCTAGATATTCCTAATTGGTCAATACTTCCTGCTTGCATTAAATTTGTTATTCTTGTTGGTTGTCCTCCAATCAATGATAAAACAATCAAACCCATTCTAGATACATTGAATAAAAAAAATCAAGTACCAACTTTACATGTATCAGGAAAAAATGATACTTTAATAACAACAGAAATGAGTGAAATAATTTTCAAATATTTTGATCCATCTTCTGCTGAATTTTATATACATAAAGGAGGTCATTATTGTCCAAATGATTCTAGTTTTAGACACAAATTACAAGAATTTATTCAGCGTGCATGTCATTCATAAAACCCTGAATTTATAATAAAAATCACATCTTCTACAGAAATATTACGCAGAATACATTGGCCATACCTCTAATAAATCATCAAAGATTTAAATAGCTTGATAAATTCTCATATTATATTTGGAAAGATAAATAGCATATCGAATTCTAGTCTTAATAGTAGTTATATAATTGTACCTATTCTCAATTATTTCTATAGAATTACTATTATTTATTAATATAATATAAAATAAGAATTTACATAATTATAAACGTGTTACCAATATTTCATCAAAGTTGTCATTATTTGATGATAATAATAATTTGAATAAAAATGGTTTATTAAGAACAGTCTTACAAAATGTATTCCAACAGATTTTTATATTTTGATTATTTAAATGTAGATGAATTAAAATAGTATCGATTATTTGAATTATTTCGTGTGATCCTCGAGAAATATTCAATAAATTAAACAAATGTATTAGAATACTTTGAATTTCTTTTTGATTATAATAAATCTTTGTTTGTCTATCATATAATTTGAAAATAAATTTAAGTTTATTTTCTTCGGATTCTTGATTAATTAATAAATTAAATTGAAAGAATTCTTCAAAATTTAATTTTTTACTTTGATTTTTATTTAAAATATAAAACATTTGTTTAATAATCAGTTTTGATATTTGATATTGTTCATGTCCATTATAAATATTTAATTGTTTTAAATAAATCTGAAATTCTTTAAATGAAATATAACCATAAGGATAACAAACAACGAAACGATCATACCAGTCTTCGATTTCTTCTAATGCTAATCTAGATTGTATTGATAATCTAGTTATCTGAGCTACAGTTAATGGTAAGGGAAGACGTGATCGAAATAGATTTTTCATTTTTATAAAGACGACAAAAATGTTTTTTAGAATTCTTACCAAATATTCTGTTCGTTGGTATTTATTGAATGAATAAAGTAATTACAACATCAACATGACGTAATGCAGATCTTTAACCGAAAACATGAGTGGTTGTTGTTATCGACTACCTGTGCATATGTTTGTTTGTTGTTATCGCAACTTGGAATGACAAAATTCCTCAGATTTATCATAGATAAACTAATCGTCTACCTTTCTTACATGACACTTGCATGAAAATATTCATGTCATGTTTCCTAAGCTGCTTTAATATATGTAAAACAAAGTTATCTATGATTATCTCACCTTGATCTTAAGTTTATAGAAGATATTATTTTTTTCTCCAACAACATGTTTCGAATGTATGCAGGTTATAATATGAAACGCCTATAGTTGATTTGATGTTATAAAGTTGTAATAAATAAATAGTATAGAGATGATAATTCAATTAATGAACGTTTTCAATACATATATTGATGATATTAACTTCGAACATTGTAAGATTTATTTTTATAATAAACATTTATCCTTAAGATTTCTTTATCTATTACTATTAAGAATTTATTTGAAGTAGAAAAGAAAAAGTAGATATACAACATTTGTTGTTATTTAAGTAGGAAGAATAATAATTGTAAAAATAGAATGCAAATATAATGGGTTTTTTTCTCACATGTGTTTTTCGTAGAAAATAACAAAAATAAATCTTCATCTTCTTAAAAAAAACTAATTTATAGCCAGTCTATATCAAGACATTGTATAATATAATTATTGAAAATAACGAGATAAAGACATTTTGTCATAGCAAATGAAATTTTTAGTCATTGTTTGTATTAAACTGAATTTAAAAGAGTTTGGCTAATATTGAAAATGTTATTCAAAACGGTATATTTTTTATTGCTCGGTAAACTCACAGCTAACCGCAGTTGACTGACGGTTTTAGAGCGGTTTGATTCACATGGGATCTTTGCTAATGTTGGTTACACTATACGCTAGACTTTTTTTTATAGACTATATAACTCTAGTTTAGTACTTCATTTTTAAAAAACATATAATTGCTAGATCATACTATTATTTCAATGAAATCAATATTACTCTATAATCCATTAAACGTTTTTAAATAAATCCCCATCGAACTATGCTCATATATTCGTTTAATAAAATTTTTTAATTCTTCTCAAATCAATCATCAAACTTCATAAATTGAATTGGTATTAATGAAAGGTATATTGCCAAAATTCTTTTACATGCTTTTTTTTATAGAACAATGCTGTTTCTATTATAATTACTTTTTTAAAAATTACATTTACAAAGCAAAATACGAATGATAGTAGATTATATTTATTCATTGCAAAAACATTCAACAATATCACATACCATCATTCAACTACATCACAACAAACAATACTTTTCACATTTTCTCGAAATCTTTTCGAAAAACATACATTTGTATAAAATCCAAAACAATATGACATACTAACACA